TACTCAGCTGCTCACTGCAGATTCCACCAGCGTGCTGATTGCCAGTCTCATCGTGGGGAATAACTGTAGTCAGCTGCCCAGCTACTCAAAACCAGGCCCAGCCAAGTTGACACATAACTACCACACCCAGGTAGCTGTCTTCTAAATTTCTTGGCCTAGACAAGTGAGCACACTTCTAGTTTTGCATCCATTCTAAACATCTCAGTTGGTATTCTGTCAATTCCTTGTTTTTTTTTTTGCCATTGCCTTCAGTGCAGCTTAGACTTCCTTCAGTACCATTTGTTCTTGGTTATATGCTACTTGAAATGGTTAAATGTTGAGCAATTCTTTTTGATACAGTGACTCTCTGTTCCTTCCACCTTGCTTTGTTTTGTTTTTTGGCTACTCATAAGCTTTATTTATTTATTTTATTGCAATTTGGGTGAAGGTTTACAGAGCAAATTTATTTTCCATTTAACAATTCATACACATTTTGTTTCGTGACATTGACTACAATACCCATAATGTAACAGCTGTCTTCCTACTCCTCCCTGTGGTTACCTTTTCCCAGTGTCCTCCTTTCCTGTGCATTCCTGCCCTCTGAGCTATCTCCCTGTGCAAATGCTGCCCTTCTCATCTTCCACAGTTGATTGTTCTAAGCAGTGTACCTACCTGGTTTAGTGTTCACAATGTAGGCCTACCTGTTGTTTGGCTGGAAGCCACAGAAATGAGTCCGATTCCAGGCCCTAAGGGTGGCTAGCTTACAGAGCAAATTCATTTTCCCCACAGCAGTTCATACACAGTTTGTTTCATGACGTTGACTGCAGTTCCCCACAATGTAACGACTCTTCCCACTTCCTCCCTGTAGTTACTTCTTCCCTGTGTCCTTCCCTCCCATGCACACTTGCCCCCCCCCAGCCGTGTCCCTGTACAAAACTGCCCTTCTGTTCTCCCACGATTGACCACTCTAAAGAGTGTATTTTGTTAGGTGCCATTGAGTCGTCTCAACTCAGCGACCTTACGTACAACAGAACGAAACACTGCCTTGTCTTGTGCTAACCCCATGATCCTTGATATACCCGAGTCCATCGTTAAGGAGTGTATCTACCTGATGTAAATGTTCACCCTATATGCCTGTCTGTTGTTTGGCTAGAAACCACAAGAGTGAGTTCAGTTCCAGACCTGAAGGGGAACTAGGGGCCATAGTCTCACCAGTAAACCTAGTCTTTTTTATGATTTTGACTTCTGTTCCACATTTTTCTCCCCCTCCATCCAGGATCTCCTGTACCAGTTCTCCTCCAAGTGGTTCAGAATAGTAGCTGGGCACCATCGAGTTCTTCTGGTCTTAGGGTCATGTTGGCTGAGGTTTGCATAGTCCACTAGTCCCTTGGATTAATTGTTTCCATGTGTCTTTGATTTTCTTCATTCTTTGTACATTCTTGTCTCTCCTGGACAAGGAGAGATCAGTTGTTACAACTTAAATGGCCACTTAAGCTTTTAAGACCCTGGTGCCTACTCACCAAAGTAATGTGGAACAATGTTTTTGTATAGTATGTTATGCCAATTAAGCTTGATGTCACCTGCAACCACCTTCCATCTTCTTTTGATGCTTCCTGCATCATTCAATATTTTGTCTATAGAACTATTCAACATTGCATTTCAAGGCTGGAATTTTTTTCTTCAGTTCTTTCAGCTTCAGAAATACAAGGGTGTTCTTCCCTTTCGGTTTTCTACCTCCAGGTCTTTGTCCATTTCATAATAATACTTTGTTGTCTGGAGCTGCCCTTTGAAATATTCTGTTCAGCTCTTTTCCTTCATCATTTGCTTCCATTTGCTTTAGCTACTCTCTGTTCAAGAACAAGTTTCAGAATTTCTTCTGACATCCATTTTGATTTTTTCTTTCTTTCCTGTCTTTGTAATGACCTTTTGTTTTCTTCATGAATGATGTCCTGATGTCATCCCAGAACTCATCTGGTCTTTGGTCATTAGTATTCAGTGAGTCAAATCTATTCTTGAGGTGGTCTCTAAATTCAGGTGGGATATGGTCAAAGTTGTACTTTGTCTCTTGTGGACCTGTTTCACTTGTCTTCAGCTTCAGTTTGAACTTGCATATGAGCAATTGATGATCTGTTCCACAGTCAGCTCTGTCCTTGTTCTGACTGATAATATTGAGCTTCTTAATCATCTCTTTTCATAGATATAGTAGATTTCATTCCTGTGTATTCTGTCTGACAAAGTTGACATGTATTATCACTGTTTGTGTTCTTGAAAAAAGGTATTTGCAGTGGATCGGTCATTGGTGATGCAAAATTCTATCTTGTGATCTCCAGCGTCATTTCTATCATAGTTTCCAACTACTGATCATTCTTTGTTTCTGACTTTAATAGTCTAATCATCAGTAATTATCAATGCATCTTGATTACATTTTGATTCATTTCAGACTACAGAAGGTGAAAATCTTTGATTTCTTTGTCTTTAGCATTAGTGGTTCAGACATATATTTGAATAATAGTTGTATTAACTGGTCTTCCAGGATAATATGGATATTATCCTGTCACAGCATTGTACTTCAGGGTAGATCTTGAAATGTTCTTTTTGACACTGAATATGGTGGTATTCCTTTTCAATTTGTCATTCTTGGCTTAATAGACCATATGCTTGATTCAAAATGGCCAATGGCAGTCCATTTCAATTCACTGAATATAAGAACAAAGATATCGATCTTTATGTATTCCGTTTCCTTTTTGTTGACTTCCAATTTTCCTAGATTCATACTTTGTACATTCCACATTTTGAGTATTACTGGATGTTTACAGTGGTTTCTCCTCATTTTGAGTCATGCCACATCAGCAAATGAAGGTCCTGAAAGCTTTACTCCATCTTCGAC